ATCCCCCTCCTCATCCTCCTCCTCCTCCGCCTCCTCCGCCTCGAGATTCTGGTCAGAACGCACTCTGGAAAAGAGGAGTTAGATGCCCGTTTGGGGGGCACTTCTGGGGCCCACCTAACAGATCAAGTTCGACTCAGGTTCGACGAACGTTCGACTCAGGGTCGACTCAGGGTCGACTCAAATCGACGGACGTTCGATGCAGGTTCGGCGCACGAGTGCAGCGAGTGTCTCCAGGACGGTCACCAGAATGAGCATCCAAGAGGGGTCCAGGGAGCAACGGCATCGATCGGTACTCCAAGTTGTTCAATACGCGTGGGGAGTTGGAACGCGCAGGGGTGCAGGAGAGTGCTGTCCTTCGCGGGGCGGTGGGGGAGGGGGGATCGCTTGATTGGGGGGGGAAGGGCAGAACGGGCCGTCGGACGGAGTGACATGGGGGGGGGCTTATTGAGCATTTTGGAGTACAGTCAAGATGCTGAGGTAAGGACCGATTTGGGTCCCAGAGGGGCTCAGAGTTTTCTGGCCCTGCTTTAGACTTCTGTCGTGGAGCCTGTCTGTGGCCTGTGCCCGCCGTGGCCGGAAAGGCCCCTTCGTTCCCTCGCACGTGCCCCTTGTGGTAGCACGATGACTGTACCTTCTTGGTGTTCTCTGCAGAGGCGCTGGAGGCGGCGCTGGAGGCGGCGACGGGTGCCGGCCTCGGTGCCAACGAGGTCGCCGGCGCCAGGGCGGCCCTGGCAGAGGAGCGCAGGCGGGAGGCGGCGGAGCTCGGCCTGGAGGCGGCGGCCAAGGTCAAGGGAGGAACAACTACAGGTACCAGACAATGCACGTTCACTAAGCGGCCTTGGGCGTTTACTTAACAGCCCTGTCCTGTTCGATTCCTTTCTTGGGTGCGTTTATTACTCGTAAATCTGCTTTGCCTGTCGGTGTGATGCTTCTGGGGGTGGAGTTTCTGCCCTCTACAAGGGGCGCGATGTCGGCGCGATGGCCGCGGCGCTCGCGGAGGGCGAGGCCGCGGGCGTGGCGGCCGAGGTGTTGGGCCTCGTGCGCCGGTGCCTGGCGGAGGAGGAGCGGAAGGTGGCCGCGCGCGCCGGCCTGGCCGAGGCGCTGCAAGGGCGCCGCGTGGGCGAGCTGGGCACGGCGCTGGAGGAGGCGCTCGCCGCAGGGCTCGGCGAGGGCGAGACGCTGGAGGCGGCGGCCGCCCTGCAGTCGGAGCTGTGGCGCCTGCGCGCCGCGCTGGCCGGGGCGGCCGTGGCCTTCTGCGGCCCTGCGGCGCCGGACGTGGAGCTGCTGGCCGCGGCGCTGGCGGCCGCGGCGGCTTCTGGGCTGGACAAGTCCGAGCTCGCTGCCGCGGAGGAGGCGCTGCGGCAGGAGCGCCGGAAGCGGTCGGCCCGGGCCGCTCTGGAGCAGGCCCTCAGCTCGAGGGGTCTGGAGGAGCTCCGGGCCGCCGTGGCTGAGGGGGCCGCCAGCGGGCTCACCGCTTGGGTGCTGGACCGCTGCAGGGTGGCCCTGCAGGAGGAGGAGGAGAAGGCCGCGGCGCGAGCCAGCCTCCGAGGAGCGCTGGCCGCGCCCTCCGTCGCGTCGCTGGAGGCCGCCTTGGCCCGCGCGGCCTGCGCCGGCGTCGAGGACGAGGAGCTGGAGGGTGCCCGGCAGGCGCTGTCGGCCGAGCGCGAGAAGGAGGCGGCCCACGCCGCCGCGCGCGCGGCGCTGGCCACGGCGGCGCGGGCGCGCGACGTCCCGATGCTGGAGGCGGCGGTCGCGTGGGGCATCGCTGTCGGCCTCGAGGCGGGGCCGCTGGAGGCCGGCACCCGCGCGCTCGTGGGGGAGCACCGCGCGCGGGCCAGCAGGGCGGCGCTGGAGGACGCCCTGAGCCGCCGCGCCCTCGCGGCCCTGCGCGCGGCGGTGCGCGAGGGCGACGCGTGCGGCCTCGAGGCCTGGGTCCTGGAGCAGTCCCGCGCGGCGCTCGCCGAGGAGGAGCGCAAGGCGGCCGCCAGGCTCGGGCTTCAGGAGGCCGCCGCCGCCCGCGCCGTGGGCCCGCTGCGCGCCGCCCTCGCGGAGGGCGAGGCGGCCGGCCTCGAGGCCGACGAGGCGGCCGAGGCGCGCCTCGTCCTCGCGGACGAGCTGCGCAAGGAGGCGGCCCGGGCGGAGCTGGCCAACGCCAGCGGCGCCCTGGAGGAGGAGGGCGGCAGGGCCGAGCTCGAGGACTCTGCCGGGCGTGGGAGGGGCCCGCTGTCGGAGTGACCCTTCTGGTGCGGGCCCGCACATAATTAGGGCTCCCCCCCCCTCCAGCACCGGCCCGCGCGCTCGGACCATCGGGTTCCCCGCGGCACCCTCCTTCGGAGCCGCGCACCCAAGGGCCACTCCTGCCCTGGGCCCCACCCCCGCGTGCGCAGCCGCAGGACGCCGCCCACGCCGCGGCCCTGGAGGCGCTGGCGGCCGCGCTGAGGGAGGGCGAGGCCGCAGAGCTCCCGGAGGCCGAGCTGGAGGCGGCGAGGGGCGCCGTGGCCGCGGAGGCGCTGCGGAGGTCGGAGAGGGCGCGCTGGCGCGCGCTGCTCGCACCAGGGGCGCCGCCGGTGGCGGCCGCCGAGCTGCTCGAGGGCGCGGCCGGCCTCCTGCGCCTCGCGCTCCCGCTGGGCTACCTCCAGGATCGGGGCGGCGGACGACAGGGGAACAGCGGGCCCAGACATGATCGCGCAGTGCGGAAAAATCTGGACGGGAGGTTTTGATAGCTGGCTATTATTTTCGGACCCGGGGAGCCCTCGCCGGGCCTCGGGGCCGTCAAAAGACGACTTAGGACAAGAAAAACCGGTCCTGGTGAAAGGGTCGGGGCTTCCAGGGACGCCGTCGTGAAAACATCAGGACGTCGCATGTCTGGGGGGACAAGGGGGGCGTCCGCGGCGGACGATGGGGGCTACCTCCAGGATCGGGTCGGTCCAGCTGCGTCGCAGTCGGCTGCGTTCGGTCGGTTCGGTTCGGTCGGTCGTCGTGTCGCTGCCGCGTCGACGCGCCCTACTGGGCTGCCTGTCGCTTTCAGCCGGCACCGACGCGTCAGCATAGCTCTTTCCCGAGTTGGTTTGTTTGCCTGTACGGTTAGATTTGGTCCCCCAGCGGCCCCGTAAAGCCGCGCACCGAAGGCCATTCTCACCTATAACAGAAACCTGTCCGCCGTCGGGGACGCCTGCCCCCCAGGCGGCTGCAAAGTTTATCCTCCTACGTTGCCACGTAAGGGTACGAAGTTTCCAGCAGCCCGGGGGGAAGGCGTCCCCGACGGCGGAACAGTTGATGTTATACCGTTCTCCGCCCGCCAATTACTTAGGGTCACTCTTGCGTGCAGTCCAAGGGTGGAATCGTAGGAACTGTGGGGGCATGAGTCCTCCTGCAAGAGCTGGTTTCGGCCCCGCCTCCTGGGCGCGGTCCTTCTCTTTTTTATGTGTTGTGTGTTCTCTTTTGTTTTCTTCTTTTTTTCCTCTCTCTCTCTGTAACATGTACTTATGTATATGCATGTGTATGTACATGTTCATATCTATATAGACATCGGAGGTTTGGGAGTGAGTCCGACGTGAAACGGAGACCCCCCTACCGGGAATCGATTTCGGTTTCGGGTTCGTGTCGTGCGTGCCGTGCGTGCGTGCGGGCGAGGCGAAGCTGCGTGGGCGGGCGAGAGCAAATCCTCCTGTGGCTGGGCCGCGGCTGGACCAAATGTTTCTCCTCCGGCGGCCCGTGGCCCGCGGTGTCCCGCCAGTGTCCCGCTGGTGTCCCGAAATCCTCCTGTGGCTGGGCCGCGGCCGGACCAAATGATTCTCCTCCGGCGGCCGGTGTCCCGCGGTGTCCCGCGGTGTCCCGCGGTGTCCCGCGGTGTCCCGTGGTGTCCCGTGGTGTCCCGTGGTGTCCCGTTGAGTGAGATCGATAGTGAGATCGATGTGGTGCCCCGATGTGTCCCTTGGTGTCCCGTGGTGTCCCAAAAAGTGAGATCGATGCTGAGATCGACACGTGTCCCGTGGTGTCCCGTGGTGCCCCGCTCAGTGAGATCGATAATGAGATCGACAGTGAGATCGATGCTGAGATCGATGTGGTGCCCCGAGGTGTCCCGTGGTGTCCTAAAAAGTGAGATCGATAATGAGATCGATAGTGAGATCGACAGGTGTCCCGTGGTGTCCCGTTGAGCGGGCTCGATAGTGAGATCGATAGTGAGATCCATGTGGTGTCCCGCGGTGTCCCGCGGTGTCCCGTGGTGGCCCGTGGTGTCCCGTGGTGTCCCGTTGAGTGAGATCGACAGTGAGATCGATAGTGAGATCGACAAATGTCCCGTGGTGGCCCGTTGAGTGAGATCGATAGTGAGATCGATTGAGTCAGATGTTGGTTCCCCCCCTCTCCCCCCGCCCTCCCCCCACCCCCCACAACCTCCTTATCACCCGAAGGGTGGTCGTATAGGTATATGTATTTTTAGGTATATATCTATGTGTATATATATTATACACATTCAGGATATTATTCTCCCTCCCCCACAACCTCCTTATCACCCGAAGGGTAGTCGTGTAGTTACGTGTGTGTACTGCTCCGCCGCCCGGCACACCAGGAGGCGCCGGGGAAATCTTCTGCGTGAGCTGGCTCGCCACCCCTTGCTGACGTGGGCAAGTAAGGGATGTGAGCACAGAATCCCACCCTTCTCCTCCTCCTCCTCCTCCTCCCCTCCTCCTCCTTCTCCTCCTCCTCCTCCTCGTCCCCAGAATTAAGCAAATCCCCAGAATCCCCCGTGCTGCCCCCCTCCCAGGAGGCCCCAATTCTCTTGTAAGTGCTAGGCGAAGCAAGTCCAGGGGGGGCGGGGACGATCTGTGTCCATCGTCCCCACCCCCTCGCTACGCTCCTGGGCTCGCGCCGTGGGAGCGCGCCGATGCGGAAGGGGGGCGAGGAGGGAGGAGGGACGAGGGAGGAGGGGGAAAACGAGAGAGGAGGGGGGAGGGGGAGAGCAAAAAGAGTGAGGAGCAGATGGGCCGGACGGGGGAGAGGGGAAGGGATCAGGAGGAAGGATGCGGAGAGAAGAGGAGGACGGAGGAGAGGGTGAGGGGACGGGGGAGGGACCACGCAGGAGCCATGGGGGAGACAGGAGGCGGTGGGCGGAGTGGTTTTCCCTCGGCGTTGCCCCTGCGTCAGCCTTCGATGCTCCCCTTGCCCGCCCAGGGTGCCCCAGGAGGCAACCCAACCGCTCCGAACGTGTCAGCCCTCGGGCACCCCCTGGCCGAGCTCCCTTTCCTCCCTGCAGTGGGAACACCGAGGCCGGCGAACCTATTTTCTCGTCCCGCCCGAAACTTGTCGTATCGTCTCCTCACAGTTACACAGTTGTGTCCTTGGCATCACTCGGACTTGCGTTTTTGCTTGGCAGCGACCATCGAGGAACATGTCGGACCTGTTTCGCGGCAGAAATACACGCACGGAGCGGAAAAAACGCACGGAGAATGGAAGTCCGACCGATGGCAAGACTCACGGCCAAGAGTTGTTGGATAGCGTGTCGTTCAGCTGGTTCTGGCCCCCACGCCTCGGCGCGACAAACGCTATTCACGTCGCGGTCCCCCCAGCGTCAACGTCCCGAGTTTGTCCCGACCGTCCGCCCGGCGGACCGGAGCGACACGCTATCCGCTCCAGGCCAAAGTGCGGCGGCCAATGCGACGCGCTATTCAAAAGCTTGCGACCGTAGCACAGCAAAACATGTCAATGGCAGCAACGGAGGATAGTCCGGCGACTGAAAACGCGAATGTCATTTTATTCCTAGGATTCCCAATGAACGCGCGGCCATGCTCACCGTAGTGTGTCCGCACCAGAAACGTCGCTGGCATTGTGAGGTCGACGACGACGCCGGCATCGTCGTCGTTGTCGTCGTCGTCGTCCGCGGCATTATCGTCGCCCTCGTCGTCCGCATTATCGTCGTCATCGTCGTCGTCGTCGTCGGTGGCATTCTCGTCGTGTCGTCGTCGGCATTGCCGTCGGCCTCGTCGTCGGCATCCTCGTCGCCATGGGCCGCCGTGGCGGCGGCGCGCTGTGCGGCACGTGCCCGGGGCGCGGCCGCCGCGCACTGCTAGGAGCACTTCCTGCGGCGCGTCGCCCGGGGCGACGAGCTGCCCCCGACGGCGTACGCCCGCGCACTGCGCGCGCTCCGCGAGGAGCAGGGGGGGGGAGAGGTGGACACTGACAAGTGCACGCCAGTCGTTGGAGGTGGGCATCTGGGGATCTCCAGCTCCCAACCGATTTCAAGCACCTCCCGAGTTCGTGCGTATGCAGATGTGCATGTATGTGTTACTCTTCAGGCTTGCCCTAGCCCAATCTACTTGATCCGCCTTCCTGCTTCATGTTTTCACCCACTTCTTTCGACTGGCGGGCAAGCGTCGGCCTCCAGAACCACAGTCTATGTGTGCGCGTGTGTGTGCGTGTGTGTGTGTGTGTGTGTGTGTGTGTGTGTGTGTGTGTGTTTGCGTGTGTGTGTGTGTGTGTGTTTGTTTGTTTGTTTGTTTGTGTGTGCGCGCGTGTGTGCGTGAATGTGTGCGTGTATGTGTGTGCGTGCGTGCGTGCGTGTGTGTGCGTGTGTGTGTGTGTGTGTGTGTGTGTGTGTGTGTGTGTGTGTGTGTGTGTGTGTGTGTGCGTTTACTTTTGTGTGTGCGTAGGTGTGTGTGTTTCTGTGTGTGAGCCCCCCTCCGGGCGCCGTGTGTTTGTTTTTGTATGCGTGTGTATGTGTGTGTGTGTGCGTAGCTCTGTGTGTGTGTGAGCCCCCCTCCGGGCGCCTTCCTTCTGGAGGAGCTCGGCTTCGGGGCCGGGCCGCTCCCGGCGGCGACGGTGGCCGCCGTGGAGGACGCCTACCTGGCGGCCATCGAGGAGGCCCACGCGCGCGAGGCGCCGCCGCTGAAGGCCGGCGGCCCACACCGGGGGGGGGAGGGGGAGGAGCAGGAGGAGCAGTTGGAGGAGGAGGAGGAGGAGGAGGAGGATGAGGACGAGGAGGAGGAGGAGGAAGAGGCGGAGGAGGAGGAGGAAGACGAGGAGGAGGAGGAAGAGGAGGAGGAGGAGGAGGAGGAGTAGGAGGAGGGAGGGGTGCGCGAGCCCCGACCTCCTCGCGCTGTGGAGAAGTCACGACGGGAGGTTTTGCTGCATTTCTGGCCTCCGGGGGCCCTTGCCGGGCCTCGGGGGCGTCCGGAAGCGGCTCAGGAAGAGAAGCCGGTCCCAGGGAAGGGTGGTCTAGACCTCTGAGGGTCGGCGTTGCGAACAAATCGTGCGACGTCGGGGTTCTGGGGGGGGAGGGGGCGCGAGGGGAGGGCCTTCTCGGAAGTTTGGCGGGCTTCAGAGGGGGCGGGGGGCTTCTTGGAAGCTGGAGCCGGCTGGGGGTCAGGGGTGGCCCAGCGCTGGTTTCTGCCAAAGAAGGGGGGGGCGGGGTTCGAGGTGCTCGGCTCGAAACTGGGGTTTGGTTTCGAGCCCCGGGACCGTCGAAAAACGGATCCAGGGCGAACCCACTTGCACCAGATGGACCCCTAGAGGGATCCGGATCCGAGGACGGATTTTGAGCAAAATTGGCTGCATCCCCTCTCCTGACAGATTTGCTTGAGTCCCAGCCAGTTCAGGCCCCCTGGCCGCCACCAAGTTTGGAGCCCTCCTGGCGTCTACACTACTTACAGTCAGCCCGCATAGTAAGTACATATGGGCAACCTTCCCAAGGTTACCCTTGAAATCCTTGCCCCTTCGGCCCGTCCTTGGTCACTTTCGCTGGCCGCGCCCCGCTCGAAAAGCTTCGACATGGCCTTCCGAGGCCCTTGCATCCTTATCGCGCATCCTTGTGATACGGGTCGACTGTAGGAGTCCTTTTCGAGAGCCCCCAGGCCCTTCAAAGAAGCCCCGCACCTTCTCGGGAGCCCCCCCTTATCACTGCCCACCACACCACCCCAACCCGACTCGAAGGCCCCGATTTGCCGTTCATTTCCAGTGGGGGGTGACGGGGAGTATTTTAGAATGAAGCCCTAACCCCCCAACCCGAACTTCGGGTCTTCGGGCTGGGTTGGGGTGGTCTGGCAGGTAGTCACCCCGCCCCCCTCGCGCCGATCCCGCGCGTACGCCGCCCAGGCGGCCTGGGAGAGGACCCTGATCTGGCTCGACCTGGCCCCGCCCAGCGACGCCGAGGCCGAGGACGACGGCGCCGCGGCGGCGGCCACAGCGCCGCCAGCGCCGCCGGAGGGCCTGCTTGCCGGGGACGACGAGGCGGAGGTGGCGCTCCTGCTGCGGTGTTCAGGAGGGTGAAAAAAAACACAGACACAGTGAATCGTCGAATCCAGGCACGTATGGGAAAATATAGGAAATGGGGAGGAATAGTAATACCCTGAAAACACACATATATATATATGTTTATACACATATGAATATATATATATATATATATATATATATATATAATATATATACACATATATACACATATACCTATGCGACTTCCCTTTGGGTGATAAGGAGGTTGTGGGGGGTGGGGGGAGAGGGGGGGACCCAACATCTGAGTCAATCGATCTCACTATCGATCTCACGCGACGGGACACCATTGGACACCACGGGACACCACGGGATTTTTGTCGATCTCGGTATCGATCCCACGATCGAATTCACTCAACGGGACACCACGGGACACCGCGGGACACATCTCGATCTCATTATCGGTCTCACTATCGATCTCACTATCGATCTCACTCAACGGGACACCATGGGACACCACGGGACACCTCGGGACACCACATCGATCTCACTATCGATCTCATTACCGATCTCACTATCAATGACAATAAACGGGGCACCACGGAACACCTCGGGACACCACATCGATTTCAGTATCGATATGACTATCGATCTCCATTCTTGGGGCACCACGGGGCACCACGGGACACTTCTCAATCTCACTTTCGGTCTCACCATCTATCTCACTCAACGGGACACCATAGGAGACCACGGGACACCACGGAACCTTACGGGACACCACGGGACATTTGTCGATCTCATTATTGATCTCACTATCGATATCGTTTTGGGGGGCACCGCGGGACACCTCGGGGCACCAGATCGATTTCAGTATCGATCTCACTATCGATCCCACTACCGATCTTACCACGGGACACCACGGGACACCACGGGACACCGCGGGACACCGCGAGGCACCGCCAGAGGACGGACGGGCGGACGGGGGATAATCATTTGTTTCGACTTCGCCCTAGCAACGGCGGGACCACGGGACACCCACGGGACACCACGGGACACAGCGGGACACCGCGGGCCACCGCCGGATTGGCGGGAGGGGGAGAATCATTTGTCTTGAGTTCGCCCTGGCAACGGTGGACACCACGGGACACCACGGGACACCACGGGACACCGCGGGACACCGCGGGCCACCGGCGGACGGGCGGGAGGGGGATTATCATTTGTCTCGACTTCGTCCTGGCAGCGGCGGGTTCATTCGTTTCGCACGCCCACGCAGCTTCGCCTCGCACGCGCGCGCGACACGAACGAAACGAAATGATTTCCCGGTTGGGGGTTCTCCGTTCCGCTGCGATGTCACCCCCAGCCTCCGATGTATATATGTTTATGTATATATACATATGCATATATATATATATATATATATATATATATATACATATATACATATATATACATATATGTGCTAGCACCCCCCAAACACACCATATTCGACACATTGTCGGGGGATGGATGAACGAAGATTATCGTTGTTTGTTGTGGTTCGCTGTTAATGTTTTCTTTGTTTTTTTCGTTATGTACTTCCGTTTAACTATTTACCACTTTCTCTCACCATTCCACGCACGGGCTGCATGCGCTCATCGGCTACACACATGTGTACAGTATAGCAGGCCAACATGAACGCGGATGTTCAACATTGGCGATGACAAAGAGGGCTCGCGTGGTGCTACATATTTTGTCATGTAAAGTTGCAAGAAGTTATCCGTGCCGTTGCGTTACAGGGTGAACACAGGGACCGCCCATAATCATTTCCTATAGCACGTACGCGAACCCAGCTGAAACCACATTTCTAGCAGGCGTACTTCTCCTTGAACCCATAACTGAACATCTTGACTGTCGCCGCCCACCAATCACATCCGCGGTTCCAATCGCACCAGTGTGCAGAACGGATCTTGTCTCGCAGAATATTGTTGTTAACGACTGCCTAGATCCCCACGTGTTTGCGCACCTCGCGCCAACAACGGTCGATGAGTTGTGTCCCGCTGTTCACACAGACCCTTGTTTTCTTGATCTGCCCACTGTCAGAAGACATCGGGGCGTCGTGGTATCGCACCTTTGAGAACAACTGTCTGGTCCAAGTGAACTTGCCATTTGCTTTTGCGTTTTTTCATGTGCACAACACAGTCGTGCATCATTCCTCGAACTTTCAGTTTGTAGGATCTGGCGCCACATGCGTGGAGAATGACGGAGCGGTCCTTGAGCTACTTAGTCGCCAGTGGGCACCAATCTCGTTTCCTGATCGGTCTTGGGTCTGGCACGCGCCGCTTTGTCTTTTCTGGTTTCAACTTAAACAGCGCAAGCGACGAGCGATGGCTACCCCGTTGGGCAATCACACCCGATTGTTCCCAGATTATGGGGCGATCTGAAATAGGCTTTGCGAGGGGGTCTTCTCTTTTTGCGAGGTGTACTCCGTTTGCCTCCACATCAGCCCAACTATCTGACATGCCAAGTTGAATGGCCTTTTTCTGTAGCCGAGAAATATTGGGCCCGAGAGGCGCAACGATTTGCACAAATGCTCCCAATGGGCTCGTGATTCTGTCCAAGGAGCCTGTGCGCTTGGACCTGGGCGCGCCCGCTGACGGCGCAGAAAAAGGATGGACGCCTGGGCAGCCAAGCTCGCGTGGGAGGCCCCCGTAGCCGCACGAAACACTGGATGAAAAGAATGAGGCAGCACGCGGCGGCGGCAACCGTGCACCCCGCACCTCTATCCACTCGCCCTTTTTCGGCCCGAAATCTTGGAGCGGCCCCAGCACGCCCGCGCTGCAATAGGGGCATGATTCTCTCTTCCATTATGACAGAATGCGGTCTTTCTTCGCCTTCAATTCAATATTCTTGATTGGCTGATTGGCGAAGTCCTTGAGATACGTCGTCCAATGATATCGATCTGGCCTTGGTACCGATATGGGGCTCCCATGTCTCACGTATGGAACGCTCTTTGGCTTATGATGTTGGTTCGCCGCTGCCCCCATTTGTCCTTGTCTTCCTTCGAATGGGGCGCGTTGCCTGCCGCCTCTTCCCACTTTGGGCGCGGGCCTATTCCCGCGTCTCTTGGCGACAGGTTCGCCGCCGCGCAAGCGGTCGCCCCCGTGGCCGCGCAAGGGCGCGCGCGAAGTTGAGCTAACCCGCGGCACCTCGAAGATAGTCTGCATCCCAGACACTGCGTCAACGATTGCCTTCTCGGCGCCTTGCACTGCGACCAGCTCGACACTCCCGCTGCGGAAGCTGACGACGCCGCGTTCGCCCGCGCGCAATCCGCGCGCGCGGCCGCGCCTAGGGCGGCAACTATTGAGATGTGTTCTTCGGGAGGAGCAAGGGTGAGTATAACCAATGCGCATGAAAAAACCTTGCGAGGTAAGGATGCAAGGGCCGTGGAATGCAACGCGGGTGGTTTTCGAAAATTCAACGCCTACGAGCGGGCGGCAAATCTTGAAGATGCAAGGGTGCCCTTGGAAGCCTGCCCGTCATTCCTACGCGCATTGCCTGCAAGCTCAATTTGGAATCTTCTGCGCCGAATGGGGCCGCGAAATATGTGCGATGACGGATTATGCCGCATTTGGCGGGCGCACAACAAAAAACGCGATTGAACCGCATTTGGAGCCCATGCGACATCAAAAAATCATGTCTCAGGAGTTGCACCTTGACGTTCCCGTCGTCAACCACGAGGCGCCCGCCGCCGCGCGCGCGCGACGGCGGGGCGCGGTCGGGCGGGGCGTGTCATTGCCGCCCTGGAGATCTCACGCAGGCGCACCGTCGCGCGAACAGCGGCGCCCTGGACGCCGCAAGCGCCCCCGAAAAAAATCCAGGGGCGCCCGCGGCGAGCCGCGGCACCGCTGCGCGCCCGACGAGACGTCTGCGTTAGAGCTCCGTCCTGGACCACCCACAGCGGGCCGCTCCGCGCACAGGATGCCGCGCGCCCAACGTCGCGGAGTGCTTCGGCGACACAAATATTTCTGAGCTCAACGTTGCGGCCGCGGGGGCAGCGGGCAGACTCCTCTGACGCCAACGAGGGCTCTTGGTCCACGAGGATGCCGAGCACCTTGCGGTCGCTGCTGCAACGCGCCCTCTCCGACTGCTGGTTGCCCGGAGCAGGGCTGTCCAGTAGCGGGCAGGCGCGCGTGGTTTGTCGGGCGCGCGCAATAACATCGTGCACCTCTGCTTCTGCGTCGAACGGACCGCAGCCTTCCAAATGTCATGCTGGGCTCTCCATTGCAGGAAGGGGCCGCGCGTCGGCCTCGATGGCAGCGAAGAACGCGGCGCGCATCCGCGAAGCAGCCGATAGGAGACTTATGGTGGACGCGCGGATGCTATTGCCGAGCGCCGAATCCAAAATGCCGAGCTGCCCCTCGTGCACCTCGACGGCCATGAAGTGTCCGAAGGTATCCCCGTACGGTTGCCAATGCGCCAGCTGCGAGTTTGCCTGGGTGGCGTCGCGAATCGTGCAACGACACTCTTGAAGCCGCAGCATCTGATCTTCACGTTGCGACCCGTGGCCCCGACGCTCGTTGAACTGCGGAACGGCGCGAGGCCCGTCGCACGGCGGCCGCGCCTGCGGAGAGTGATGCTTCAAGTGTTGCACTTGCTTGTGTAGACGCGCGCCATGCACTTCAAGTGCGACGCGGGGCGGTAGCTCCGCGCCGCGCGCTGCGTCACCTGAGGCCAGAAGCAAGTCTCCGAGCAGCGGGCGCATTGGTGACGCCCTGGCCACCGTGAGTTTCACCCCGCAGGTCTCCTGGAAGTCGCCGGAGACTTCATCTATGCGGAATACAGGCGCGCGTGTAGATGTAATGAGTTCATCGCAGACGCAGCGCGCGACGTTGAAATTCTGCTGGCCACTGCAATGACGCATGACCTCCATCACTTCGTTCTCGCGCGCCGACGGGGCCTGGGACAATCTGGCTGCGGCTGGCCTCCGCCGCGCGCCAAACTCGCGACGGAGATGCTGAGCGCCGCCAGACCCTAGGACGACGTCCTTGGCTTACGACGCGTCGACGGCGAGCGAACACAAAAACGGAGCGTTGTTCGCGGGCTCACCGATGTCCTTGAAATCACCTTCTTAGTTTCTGAGAGGTAATCCTGGAGACTGTCGCTGACGAATGCCCCCCAGACGTCGCAATGCTGAACGAACCTCCAACGAACGCAATGGCACTGGATCTCTTGCATGCAATTTCCTCATATCTCAGAAGGAACGCGGGGAAGCAGTTTTTGATGTCGATGCTGTAGCTCAAGCCAGTCAACGCAACAGGAATCCGATTGTAATCCTCTACAAAAGAGACCTTATTGAAATCCTCCATAAAAAGGAATCCCGTTGTAAACCTCCGCGCATGGAATCTTCTTGTAATCTTCCACGAAAGAAATCCGATTGAACCCCCACAAAGGGCATTGCATTGAAATCCTCCCATTGCAATTCTCCCAAAGGAATTCTATTGAAAACCCCACAAAAGGAATTGCATCGAAATCCTTTACACCAGGAATCCTTTTGTAATCCTCCACACAAGGACTCCTATTGTAACCCGTTGCGCATGGAATTCCATTGTAACTTGGAATTCCACATTCCCAAGTACCGCGGATGTTGTTGTTGTTGTTGTTTTGTTGTTATTGTTGTTGTTTTCTCCTCTCCTTGGTTTGGGGTGTCCAGGCACAGGGAAGCTCTGATTCCATAATTTCCAAACATATGTTTTTGTTGTTAGCCGCTTTGATTCTTGCACAGGGAAGCTCAATGTCGATGGAAATCGATAAACATGTTTTCGCGATTCGGCTCCACGGGAATAGAGTCGCCGGCCTTGAGCTTCCCTGTGCCTGGACCGCAACAGCCAATGCGGATAACAAATAAAAAACAATGTTTCGAAATCCTGAAACCAAAGCTTCCCTGTGTCTGGACACCGGAAACCAAGGAGAGGAGCAAAACAAACAAAACAAACACAAAACACAATCTTTCCGAGGCCTTTTGGAATTCGGAGCTCCAGGGTTACATTGGGGTTCCATGCGTAAAGGATTACAGTCGCATTTCTTCTGTGGAGGATTACGAAATGATTCCTATTGTAGACGATTTCAATAGAATTCCTTCCGTGGGGGATTTCAATAGAATTCTTTTGTTGAGGATTCGGATTCCTAGTGTAGATGATTTCAACAAAATTCCTTTCGTGGGGGATTTCAATAGAATTCCTTTCGCGGGGGATTACAATAGGACTCCTTGTGTATAGGATTTCAATAAAACTCCTTTCGCGGGGGATTATATTAGAACTCATGTGTAGGGTTGCATTCGGATATCCTGTGGAGGATTACACTTGGAGTCCCTTTTTGTTGAGAATTTCAATAAATTTCCTGTGGTTGAGGATTTCAATCGGATCCTTTTTGTGGAGGAATTAAGTTGTAAGCCATCACGATAAGGAAGACGAGTGCGCCACAGACAGAGACGGAGACAGAGCATAATATTGATGCATGACGAGAAAACACACACCAACATGTGCAACGTGATTTTTCAAACAAAAATTTGGAGTGGGGTGTTGGGGGGTGCTACCATATATATATGTATATATTTATACATACACATATGTGTATGTATATATATATATATATATATATATACATCTACATTTACATAGACTCATGCATTGGAAATTGTGGAGGGTCTTGGGATTACTGAATATTGCTTCTGTGTCCCTGGGCACCTCCCAGACTCCTGACGCCGCGATTGTTTTTACAACGTCGATCCCAGAGGTCTGGACACCTTCCCCAGGACCGTTTTTTTCCGAGCTGTTTGGTTGACGGCCCCGAAGCCAGGAAAGGGCCCCTGGAGACCGAAAATAGCGAAACATCTCCCGCCGTGTTTTTGTTCACGACGCAGGGGGGTCTGGGCCTTTTTTTTTGTCGTGGCCCCGAGGGGGTCTGGGGCCCCAGACCCCCGACGTCATGATTTTTGTTTATGACGCGACCCCCAGAGGTCTGAACCCCTTCCCGGGACCAGTTCTACATCCTCAGTCGTTTTTGGAGGGTCCCGAGGTCCAGGAAGGGCCCCGAGAGGCCGAAGTAGCGAAAAAACTCCCGCCGCGTTTTTTTTCACAACGCGAAGGGGCCTGGGTCAGGTGCTGCGAGCTGGCCCGCGCCTGCGGGGCCGAGGCCGGCGGCGCCGAGGATGATGGACCAATTTTCCACCGCTACCACAGGTAGGACGGGGGAGAAGGGAGGATAGGGAGGTCCGTCTCCTCCTCCCTGTCCTCCTCCTCCTCCTCTTCCTCCTCCCCCTCCTTATCCTCCTCCTCCTCTTCCTCCTCCTCCTCTTCCTCCTCCTCCTCTTCCTCCTCCTCCTCCTCCTCCTCCTCCTCCTCCTCCTCTTCCTCCTCCTCTCCTACCCAATGGTAGTGGTGGTGGAAGATGGGCCCATCAGAGGAGGGGCGCGTGCGCTGCGTGGCCACGGGCGTGCTGCGCGCCTCGGGGCGCCCGGGCGCCGAGGAGGTGCCGCTGCGCGGCTCCCTGCTGGAGCGCGCGCGTGCCGTGCACGCGGCGCGGCGGCGCTTCTCGGGGCGCCCGCTGCCCCCCGAGGAGGGATTCGCGCCTCCTCTTTCTCCTCCTCCTCCTCCTCCTCCTCCTCCTCCTCCTCCTCCCCTTCCTCCTCCTCCTTTTCCTCCTCCTCTCCTCCTCTCCTCCGCCTCCTCCTCCTCCTCCTCCTCCGCCTCCTCCTCCTCCTCCTCCTTCCCCCCTCCTCCTCCTCCTTCGCCTCCTCCTCCTTCCTCCTCCTCCTCCTCCTTCCCCCTCCTCCTCCGCTGCCCCCCGAGGAGGGCTTCGCGGCCCTCCGCGCGCGCGTGGCGCGCGGCCCGCCCGGCGAGCGGGGCGCGCTCGTGCGCGTGGGCCGCGTGCCGCGCCTGCCGCTGGCCGCGGTGCGCGGTTCCTGGGGCTTCGACGCCGCGCAGCTGTGCGCCGTGGACTGCTCCGCAGCGCCAGCGGCCGAGGCAGAGGAGGAGGGGGAGGGGGAAGGAGGAGGAGGAGGAGGAGGAGGAGGAGGAGGAGGAGGAGGAGGAGGAGGAGGATGAGGAGGAGAGGAGAGGAGGAGGAGGGAGGAGGAGGGAGGAGGAGGGAGGAGGGAGGAGGAGGGAGGAGGAGGAGGAGGAGGAGGAGGAGGAGGAAGGGCAGGCGGAGGAGTAGGAAGGGCAGTCGGAGGAGGAGGAGTAGGAAGGGCAGGCGGAGGAGGAGGAGGAGAAAGCAAGAGCACGGCACGGCCAGGCCCTCCAGACGAGGTCGGAGCAGATGGTCGAGGGATCGCGCAGCGCGTCGGCGATGCATCGGCGGTGCATCGGCGATGCGGCTCGATGTGGGGCACAGTGTTCTCCACGCCGGCGTCGCCGATGCATCGCCAACGTCGCCAGTGCATGGCCGATGCGTCGCCGATGCGTCGCCGATGCATCGCAGATGTATCGGCCATGCGGCGCGATCCTCCGACCACATCCACTCCGACTCCATCTAGGAGGCCTCTAGCATGAGCGTAGGCCCTCGACGGCCCGCGCGGATGGTGCTTGGACCTGCGCTGGACCCCCCTCCCTGGCGCTCCAGCGCAGATGCCAGGAAGATCCGCGCGGCCCGTCGAAAGCTTCTGCTTGTGCAGTTGCTGCTCCTTCGGCGAGGGGCAGCCCGCGGCTCCGCCGCCGGAGCCGCTGATGCGCGAGCTGTTCTGCTCCGGCGCGCTGTTCTCGGAGCCGTGCACGCTGCCGGCGGCGGGGCGCCGCCAGAAGTGGCCTCTCGTGAGTAAGCTTGGCCTGCGGAGGGCAGCCCCAGGTCTCCCAGGCGCGGCGCAGACGGCTCCGCGGGCGATAGATGTGTCCGTGGCGTGAAGTCGGGCACGTCCCTCTACAGGAAGAATGTTCGAGAATGGTCAGACATTACACTGGAGCGAAAACCCGATTGGAAGATGAGGGGGACGAAGGGAAAGAGGGCGAGACATTGCATCACACTGAGACAACACATCAGACATAACGAGTAGATAATGTTTGGCGCATGAAAGAGTGAGACATATATAAATAACTACCAGGAGAGAGAGAGAGAGAGAGAGACAGAGAGAGAGAGCAAAAAAAAAAGAGAAACAGAGAGAGAGAGGGAGAGAGGGAAAGAGAGAGAGGGGATGATAAACATATTGCGCAATACGAAAAATGGCATCAGACATACCGATTATGTAATGTATTGCGTTTCGGGGAAACACGAAAGCGTGATATTGATAAAGAGAGAGAAAGAGAGAGAGAGAGAGAGAGAGAGAGAGACCAAGGGAGAGAGAGTGAGAGAGAGGAATAGAGAGAGAGAGAGAGAGAACACAAAAAACAAACAGAGAGAGAGGGAGGTCCCACGGGCAGCACTGATATTGAGACGTACCAAGAGAGAGAGAGAGAGAGAGAGAGAGCGGACGCCCACATACAGCCACCCACCGAGAGCCGCCCACCGAACTCGGCCGGCTACTTTCGCCAATCTCTTTTTAGGGGGCGCCCACCGAAAGCCTCCCACCGAGAGCCGCCAACCGAAGTCGGCCTGCCACTTTCGCCAATCGCTTCCATGTCCTCTGGGACCTCTTCAGTGTAAACACCGATTGGAGAAATAGTCTGGGGACGATTTTCCTGTTGTTTTCACTGTTGACTAGTATTAAATTTGCTCAACTATTTTTTGCCAGTCTTCCAAAATCCGCCTGTGGGAGGACATGCCCGACCTAACCTTAAGTCGGGCCTGTCCATCTACAGGAGGAATATTCAAAAATAGTCCAGCAGCAGTCTGGGGACGATCTTTCTACTATCTGGACCATGCTTGCATTTTTTGAAGCACATGCTTTATTGTTCGTCCAAAATCGGCCTGTAGGGGGACATGCCCGACCTAAACCTGAACATTAGGATGGGCGGCCCCAGCTCGCCCGGGCGCGGCGCAGACGGCATCGCGGGCGATGGACGGGGCCTTGTCGGCGGCCCCGCGGGCCAGCCCCCCCCCCCCCCCGCGGCCCCCCGCGGAGAGGCGGGGGCGGCTCGTCCGCGGAGAGGCCCCGCGCGGAGCGCGTCCGTGGCGACCACACCTCTCGGCGGGATCGCGCCGCGGGGCCCAGACCGCGAGGCCGCGGATACGGTTCAGTCGGGCACGTCCCTCTGCAGGAGGAACATCCAACAAAAGTCAGAAAACAGTCCGGGGGCGCTGTCTCGTGCTCGCCTGGCTTTTCCCAACCATCTGTGCTGTTGGGCCCTCGTTTCGAAGAGGCGGTCCCCGCGTTCCTCCCTCCTTCCTTCCTCCTTCGCCTCTCCCTCCTCCCTCCTCCCCCTCCTCCCTGCGTTTCACCCACCCAGTACAGCGTTTCGTGGCCCCATACGGGGCTCCACCGAAAGCGCCAGTGGCAGAGTTCGCATGGCGGCCCAGCCCCACTGCGGCGCACCCCTCACACGGTTCGTGGCCCCACAGGGAGCTCCACCGAAGGCCCTGGTGGCAGGGTTCACATGGCGGCCCCACCTCATTTTGGCGCACCCCTCACACAGTTCGTGGCCCCACAGGGCGCTCCACCGAAGGCCCCAGTGGCAGGGTTCGCATGGCGGCGGCCCTTGCCATTTTGGCGCACCCCTCACACGGTTCGTGGCCCCACAGGGAGCTCCACCAAAGGCCCCAGTGGCAGGGTTCGCACGGCGGCCCCGCCATTCTGGTGCACACCTCACACGGTTCGTGGCCCCATAGGGAGCTCCACCGAAGGCCCCGGTGGCAGGGTTCACATGGCGGCCCCGCCTCATTTTGGCGCACCCCTCACACAGTTCGTGGCCCCATAGGAAGCTCCACCGAAGGCCCCAGTGGCAGGGTTCGCATGGCGGCCCTGCCCCATGTTGGCGCACCCCTCACACGGCTAGTGGCCCCAGCGCACCCCTCACACGGTTCGTGGCCCCACAGGGAGCTCCACCGAAGGCCCCAGTGGCAGGGTTCGCATGGCGGCCCAGCTCCATTGTGGTGCACCCCCTCACACGGATCGTGGCTCCATAGGGAGTTCCACCGAAGGCCCCAGTGGCAGAGTTCGCATGGCTGCCCCTTCCCATTTTGGCGCACCCCCTCACACGGATCGTGGCCGCAAAGGGGGCTTCACCGAAGGCCCCAGTGGCCCACTGGGAGCTCCACCGAAGGCCCCAGTGGCAGGGTTCGCATGGCGGCCCAGCCCCATTGCGGCGCACCCCTCACTCGGTTCGTGGCCGCACAGGGAGTTCCACCGAAGGCCCCAGTGGCATGGTTCGCATGGCGGCCCCGCATTTTGGCGCACCCCTTCACACGGTTCGTGGCCCCATAGGGGGCTCCACCGAAGGCCCCAGTGGCAGGGTTCGCATGGCGGCCTCGCTCCATTTACGGTTCGTGGCCCCATTGGGAATCCACCTTGTTTCGTCCCACCTGCACTGCGGTTCTCACATTTGCAGATGGTTGGGTCCTTTGGCAGGATAATTCCCTACCTAGGCTCTGCCTAGAAGGGTTCTTACTCTCTGAGCTTAAAGGGGCCGGGCTATGTAAACCGCCACGGGCGGTTCCCCCAGGATCCGCCCCGCGATTCCCCCAGTTACGTCCCCTTAGCTTAGCGTTGCTGATCTCATCTTAGCTTAGCTTATTTCATCTTAGCTTAGCTTAGCTTCATCTTAGCTCAGGTTTATCTTAGCTTAGCTTAACTTCATCTTAGCTTCGCTGAGCTTTAGCATAACAGAGCACAGCGTAGCATAGCATAGCGCAGCACATCATATCATAGCATAGCCCAGCATAGCATAGCATAGCGCAGCATAGCATAGCATAGCATAGCATAGCATAGCGCAGCACAGCACAGCACAGCATAGCACAGCGCAGCATAGCATAGCATAGCATAGCATAGCATAGCATAGCAGCAAAGCAAAGACAAAGCAACAGCAGCGACAGCAAAGCAACGCACAAGCACAAGCAACGCAAAGCAAAGCAAAGCAAAAGCAAAAGCACAGCAAATGAAAGGCAAAGCAAAATCCTAGCCTCGATGGCCGAGCTAGCCTCGATGGCCGGACCGGAGCCCCCGCAAGCAGTGCTTTCCGTAACCATTTCGGTTCAAGTCCGGAGGCCCTGCCACACAGCCGCCCACGCTCATGTCCCGAGGCCCTGCCACACAGCCGCCCACGCTTATAGCATAGCATAGCGCAGCTTAGCATAGCATAGCATAGCATAGCATAGCTCAGCATAGCACAGCGCAGCATGACATAGCATAGCATAGCATAGCATAGCATAGCATAGCATAGCATAGCGAAGCATAGCATGGCATATCATAGCATAGCATAGCATAGCATAGCATAGCATAGCAACTAATGCTGCTTTCCTAGGGGCTCCAACTTCTAGGTAGGGTCGCACTGGGGTAATTTGGAATTGTCTTTACCATTTTGGTGTTCCTCCCAAAATCCGCCTGTAGGAGGACATGCCCGACCTAATGCTGCGGATGTGCTCGCCGCCCCTGATGGCTCCCAGGGCGCCCCTCCCACGAGGCCTAGAGGGCCCGTTCGAGGAGCTCCAAAGTGGCGCGAGCTGGGATAGCACCCTGGGCCGGGACCAGGGCGCGAGCGAAACGGTGGTTGGGCGATTGCGTGGGCCTTTCCCGTGTTGATCTCGTGTTGGAGCCAAGGCGGAACGAAGGCAGCACGAGGGACCACAAACAAAGTAACGATAACAGAAAACACCGTTTTGTCGGCGCCACGCAAACATATTCAGACTTAATACTAAGTGTGCGTCGCCCCGAAAGGGGCGACGCGCACGCCGAGAAATTGAATAGCAGATGCTCCGCGGCGGGCGTTTTCTGGCCGCACCGCTCGGGCAAAGATACCCCACAACGCGATTGGGCCATGTGTTCGGGTTCGACGCACGCCTCCGAGGAGGACACGTGGTAACTAGTACGTCCTTGTGCGCCCCACGTACGGTAGGTTCGCGTCGTGTCGACCGGCGGCGACCTTGCCGCGGGCGTTCAAGGTTGAACGCCGCCAGTGGCCCAGAATCGGCCAATCTCCGCTCGAAAAACCGCCGATCGTTCAAGGTTGAACGATCCCCGCGGTGTCAGAAACCAAGGCCAGGATGGACACGACACGAACCTTCCGTAGCTCGAAGTTTGGCCTCGATGTTCGCTCCTCGCTCCTCGCTCCTCGCTCCACGCTCCTCCTCCTCCTCCTCCTCCTCCTCCTCCTCCTCCTCGATCCATCCTCCTCGACCCTCGATGTCCCCTCCTTGATCCTCGACGACCGCTTCTGGCAGCACCCCAGGCGGGCGCGCTGGAGGAGGCCCTGCGGCGGCCCCTCCTGCCGCCCGGCAGCGACCGCAGCCGCCGCACCCTGTGGCTGCCTGGCCTCGGGGGCTGCTGCATCCCCGAGCTCGAGGCGGGGCTGCGCCGGCTCGAGGAGGCCCCAGACTAACGTGCGTCACGGTTGGCTCACGGCGAGGAGGAGGAGGAGGAGGAGGAGGAGGAGGAGGAGGAGGAGGAGGAGGAGGAGGAGGAGGAGGAGGAGGGGGAGGGGCAGGAGGGGGGAAGGAGCAGGAGGAGGAGGAGGAGGAGGAGGAGGACCCCAGGGGTGAGGCGTTCCAGCAGGCCGGGCCTCGCCTTCGAGGACCGACGGAGCGGCCCTCTCTTCCTCGGCGCAGGTCGGCGGAGGGTGGCAGAAGTCATATGGAGGCGGCTCCGCTGGCGGACGCCGACAGAAGTCGGCCACACGCAGAGGGGGGTGGGGGGAGGGGGGAGGGCTTCTTAGAAGCACCCCTGCTTCTTAGAAGGCGCGGGCCTTGTCTACAGATGTAAGGCTGGCGCCTTCTAAGAAGCGGCCTCCTTCTAAGAGGCCCTCCCCCCTACCTCCACCCCCTTGCGCGCGCCGCCAACGAAGGGTGTTTTTGTTTTGGTAGCGGCTTCTGGGACCCTCCAGGTCTCGACCCATTCCCCAGGACCGTTGTTTGTTGAACCGAAAAATCCTGGGCAGATGTTTGACGGTCCTGGGGCCCGACGAGGGCCCCCAGACCGCCGAGGGCGTTTCGTTCTTTGTGATTCGGGACACGGGCTCTGACCTCTCGGCAATTTCCCTGGAACCGGTTACTCATCCCGAGGCGTTTCTGTTAACGGTCCCGAGGCCGGGTAAGGGCCCCGAGAGGCCGAACACGATGCAAAGCAATTCGTTCCCATGTGTTTGTTCTAGGCGGGATATACATCACAACCGCTTGGGGGATCGATCTTCGGGGACCTCGGCAGGCGGTGGGTATGGATACGTTCGGCACCAAGGGGCCAATCTGTATATGTATACACACATATATGTATATATGTATACGTGTATGTGCTACTATATTCATTACCATCTCCGACTCCAGTTCCAGACACATATTCATATCCACCGCCTGCTGGGGTCCCAGGCCAGGCTGTGGATACTGATACATCCCCGCCTCGCAACTCATCATCGATGACAAAAGAACCCCTGACCCGATTCACCTAGTTAGTGAAGACGTGGTCTCACTTAGGTCCCCGTCTTTGCATAGGGATACTATTTCTGGGCGCTCTTGTGTGGCACACCTGCAGACAACCCTCATGTCCCTCGTGTTTTTCCCAACCATCCTGTGGTGTTGGATCCTCGTTTTGAAGAGACGGTCCCCGCGTTCCTCTCCTCGTCCCCCTCCTCCCCCTCCTCCCCCCCCTCCCCTCCCTCCTCCTTCTTCCATGCGTTTGGCTCACCCAGCACAGCGCTCCGTGGCCCCATAAAAGGGGGCTCCACCAAAGGTCCCAGTGGCACCGCCCGCATGCGTCCGCAACCACCCAACACGGCCCTTGCTCTTTGCGCTTCACCCACCCAGTACAGCGCTTCGTGGCCCCATAAAGGGGGTTCCACCGAGAGGTCCCAGTGGCACCGCCCGCATGCGTCAGCTACCACCCATCACAGCCTTTGCTCCCTGCGTTTCACCCACCCAGTACAGCATTTCGTGGCCCCATAAAAGGAGTTATACCGAAGGTCCCAGTGGCACCGACCGCATGCGTCCGCCACCACCCAACACGGCCCTTGCTCTCTGCGCTTCACCCACCCAGTACAGCGCTTCGTGGCCCCATAGGGAGCTCCACCGAAGTTGTCAGTGGCACCGCCCGCACGTGTCCGCCACCAACCAGCACAGCCCTTGCTCCCTGCGTTTCACCCACCCAGTACAGCGCTTCGTGGCCCCATAAAGGGGGCTCCACCGAAGGTCCCAGTGGCACCGCCCGCATGCGTCCGGCACCACCCAACACGGCCATTGCTCTCTGCGCTGCACCCACCCAGTACAGGGTTTCGTGGCCCCACAGGGAGCTCCACCCAAGGTGTCAGTGGCACCGCCCGCACGTGTCTGCCACCAACCAGCACAGCCCTTGCTCCCTGCGTTTCGCCCACCCCGTACAGCGCTTCGTGGCCCCATAGGGAGTTCCAGCGAAGGTCCCAGTAGCACCGCCCGCATGCGTCCGCCACCACCCAGTACAGCCATTGCTCCCTCCGTTTCACGCACCCAGGACAGCGCTTCGTGGCCCCATAAAAGGGGGGCTCCACCGAAGGTCCCAGTGGCACCGCCCGCATGCGTCCGCAACCACCCAACACGGCCCTTGCTCTTTGCGCTCCACCCACCCAGTACAGCGCTTCGTGGCCCCATAAGAGGGTTCCACCGAAGGTTCCAGTGGCACTGCCCGCATGCGTCCGCCACCACGCAGCACACCTCTAGCTCCCTGCGTTTCACCCACCCAGTACAGCGCTTCGAGGCCCCATAGGGAGCTCCACCGAAGGTCCCAGTGGCACCGCCCGTTTCACCCACCCAGGGCAGCGTTTCGTGGCCCCATAAGGGGGTTCCACCGAAGATCCTAGTGGCACCGCCCGCATGCGTCCGCCACCACCCAGCACTGCCGTTGCTCCCTGCGCTTCATCCACACAGTACAGCGCTTCGCGGCCCCATAGGGAGCTCCACCGAAGCCCGCAATGTGACCGCCCGCATGCGTCCCGCACACGCAGTTTGACATTTTCACCCACCCAGCACAGCGAGTTGTGGTCCCAATAGGAAGCTCCACCGAAGCCCCCAGTGGGACCGCCCACATGCGTCCCACACAGCCAATTTGGCAGTTTCACCCAGTCAGTATAGCGTTTCGTGGCCCCATAGGAAGCTCCACCGAAGCCCCCCGTGGGACCGCCCGCATGCGTCCTGGAAGCCCAATTTGGCATTTTCTCCCACGCAGTACAGCGCTTCGTGGCCCCATATCCAAATTAGGCATTTTCACCCACCCACTACAACGCTTCGTGGCCCCATAGGGAGCTCAACCGACGGCCCCAGTGCGACCGCCCGCATGCGATCCCCCCCACCCAGTGCAGCGACGACGGATGTCTGGGGAGTCCGCACACAGCCCGGAGCCCGCGCGCCTATGTTTTGGGGTCACGGCCCCGAGGAGGTCAGGGGCCACGGACCCCCCGACGTCATGATTTCTTTGCGCTTTACGCGACCCCTAGAGGTCTGGACCCAGGCCCCGGGACCGGTTCTTCATTTTGAGTCGTTTTTTGACAGCCCCGAGTCCCGGGAAGGGCCCCCGGAGGCCGAGGGGGGCGAAACATTTCCCGTCGTGTTTTTTTTCGCGACGCGAAGGGGTCTGGGCATGTTTTCTTTGCCGCGGCCCCGAGGGGCTCTGGGGCCCCAGGCGGGTGCTGCCGCCACGGCCGAGGCCCTGTGCGAGCGCAAGCGCGCCGCGCCCGCTGGGGAGCCGCCGCGCGCGAAGCTGGCGCGGGCGGGACGGTGAGGCGCGCCGCGGGCGCGCGTTCTGGGCGCGCCGCAGGCGCGCCCCTGGAGGCTCTCGGAGGCTTCGGAGGCCTTCGGAGGCCTTCGGAGGCCTTCGCAGGCATTTCGGATGCCCTCGAAGACCTTCGGAGGCCTTCGGAAGCCTTCGGAGGCCCTCGGAGACCCTCGGAGGCCGTCGGAGGCCCTCCGAAGGTCCTCGGAGGCCTCCTTGGGGCACTCCCCAGACTCCCCCGCGCTGTGACAAAAATCGCGACGGAGGGTTTTTCCCCATCTCGGACGCAACCATGCCCCCTCGCGTTTTGAGGAAAGTCGCGGCATGAGGTCTCTTCCAGCTTCGGCCTGCCAGGCATCGCGGCCGTCCAGGAACGACTTGGAATGACATGCTGGTCCCGAGGAAGGGGTCCAGATCTTTGTGGGCCCGGAAACGGCAGGGCCGTTTTTCACCGTTGCCGAAAAAGTGTCCCTTGAAAGTGGAAACGGCAACAAAAACGGCGACCGGAAACGGCAACAAAAACGGCTCCAGTATTGGACCCGGAGCCGGAACGGGTCAAAAAACGGCGACGGAACCGGTAAAACAACGGCGTCGGAACTGGCAAACAAACGGCAAAACGGAACCGGTAAAAAAACGGTCTTGTCGTTTCCAAAACCCACTAAGGTCCAGACCCTTCTGGGGGCCGACGTTTTGTAACAAAGTCACAGCGTCGGGGGTTTTGGGGGCGAGCGGTCCCTCTTGCCCAGAGTCACTCTCCGTGCGCAGCCAGCCTGGGCGCAGGCAAGGAGGGGAAAAGTCGGGCGGGCCCAAGGCCCTCGCGTCGTGCCAGGATCGCGCTGGACAGGCCTCCGTTGCTGTTTCCTGCCCTTTTTCCCTTTCTTCCTCCTCCTCCTCCTCCTCCTCCGCCTCCTTCTCCTCTTCTCTCTCTCCTCCTCCTCCTCCTCCTCCTCCTCCTCCTCCTCGTCCTCCTTCTCCTCCTCCTCCTCCTCATCCTCCCCTTCCTCCTCCTCCTCCTCCTCCTCCTCCTCCTCCTCCTCCTCGTCCTCCTCCTTCTCCTCCTCTTGCTTTTTCTCCTCCTCCTCCTCCTCTTCCTTGTCCTCTTCCTTGTCCTCCTCCTCCTCCTCCTTCTCCTCTTCCTCCTGCTCTTCCTTCTCCTCCCCTTCCACCTCCACCTGCCCCCTCCCCCTCGGAGGCTGCCCTGAGAGATCTTCGGAGGCCGCCGTAACCTAAGGGGATCCGCCGCGCGCGCGTGCTCCATCTGCGGCCCGGGGCCGAAGTCCTGGCCCTCCTCGTCCTTCAACGGAGGAGAACATGCCAGCATTCGAGTCGGGGATCGACTGCAGAACTGAGTTACCCCAACATTGATTTGCTCGTCGAATCTACAGGAACAAACGTAGCATGCTGGTACAATCGTTGTATATGCTCGCACATTCGACATATAATGATTGGGCAAGTCAAGGCTGCAGTCGATCCCCTACCCGAAGCATGCCGATACACCGACACCTTAGCTGCCCTGATACGCCCGTTTTGAAGCGCCACATTTTACCGTGGTCAAGACGTCCTTGTTCGCATACTGCGTGATGTCTCAGAGTGCTGGCCCACGTCTGGGCGAGCATATCGCGCCAGACCTACATACGCGTGCTGAACTTCGTGTCAGCACGCTACGTGTTGCGTGCTGTGCATCGGGGCAGCCAAGACCAGCACCCTCCCTGTTTTGGGCCATCTGGGGTTCTCCTCGTCGTTACGGCTGGATTCGCCTCGAAGTCTTGGTCAGACGGGGTTCCGGCAGAGGTCAATCGGCGCCACCTCGTCATATCGATACTATGTGTGCGCTGCACCCTAAATGGGGCGACGCGCGCGTCGAGGGATCTTATAGTATATGCTCCGTGGCGGGCGCTGTCTGGCCGTACCGATCGGAAAACGAGATACTATACGATGACTGTGCCATTGTATGTTCGGGTCGTGCGCAGATGAGGAAACACAGAACTAGTATGTCCTTGTGCGCCCCATATCGATATGCGTAACAGTTCCCCAGCTCTCTCCCCTCCGGCTTCCGGGGTGGTGCCGCCGCATTCGTGCGCTACCGCGCTTGCGCGGGAGGGCCCTGGACCTGGAAAAACACATAAGGAAGAGGAACAGCAGCAGGAGCAGGTGCGGTACAGTAGATTCGCACCGAGTTGACGCTGCGGTGACCCCTTCGCGGGCGTTCAAGGTTGAACGCCGTAAGTGGCTCTGAATCGGCCTACCCATTAGCGCTATCGCAAGAGCCGCGATCGTTCCAGGTTAAACGATGCACGAGGTGCCAGAAATCAGTGCCAACGTCATCGCGACACGAATCTGCCTAGCAATTCGGAGGGGGGCCACGCCCAGGACCGCTGAAGGCGAGGTAACGTCGGCAGTCTATTCAATGAGATGCGCGGGGTCCCCGTGGGTGGCCGATGCTTGGGTTGAATAGCCTGGCTCCCGAGCGAGGCACTTGCACGCGGGAATGGCGGAAGCGAGGGATAGGGAGAGGAGAGGAGGAATGCGGACGAGATGGAGGGGGTTTTCCTGGACCGAAAAACTACAAACGGCACAAACATAAACTTTTGGAGCTCCGCGTGGATTTCTTGGATTTGCGCTGGCCCTCTCCCCTGGCGGCGCCTCCGGCGTCGCCCTTGGCGCGCTCCGCGCGCGAGGGAGGGGGGGTCCAGCGCAGATCCAAGGAATCCGCGTGGACCTCCAAAAGTTGATGGTTACCTTGTTCTTCTACTGGAGGGGGCGATGGATGGTGTTGGGGCAGACGGGGGCGCGAGAAGGCGCAACCAGGCAGAAAGAGGCCAGGGGAAATCGTCGACTCTCAGTTGCTTCTGTTGGCTCCTGGCGACGCGCCTCCAGTCCCTTCCGGGGGCGCCTGGGCCTGCTCGCCCGTCCTATGGCAGGCGCGTGCTCGCCGAGAGCCGAGTCGAGGGATGGCGGCGCCTGCCTGCCAGGCCGACATCGAGATCAGCGGCAGCGAAGAAGCCGAGCAGTGGCAAAGCGCCCTGGCTTGCCTATGGGCCCACCAAAGAATGTTCTAAGATGGTCTGCACGACATGTTCTTGGAGCATTTCTGGCCGAGACTGTCCCGTTTTAGCGCGTCGGTCCGATGTTCGAAGAACGTCGTTCTTGCTCTTAGAACACGTCGCGGTAGACCTACAGGAATTCCGGGGCGGTCGGTCCCTGCTCAAAGAAGCGAGGCCTCCCGCCACGGCCGCGAGCCAGCCGGGCAGCGGGCCCTGGGCGGCCCGTCTGGCGGTGTGCGTCGTCCCGCTCGGGGCCGCGACGGCCGCTCGGCGCGCGATCTGGGAGGGACAGCTGCGCGCCGCGGGCGGGGTCGTCGTCGCGCCCGAGGCCGGGCGTCTCGGCTGGTCGTCGGAGCTCACACACCTGGTGGTCAGGGGAGGAGAGGTCGAAGAAGGAAGACCGGCATAGACATAAACTTGGGGCGCTCCGCGCGGATCTCTTGGATCCGCGCTGGGCCGCCCCCCTGGCGGCGCCTCCGGCGCCGCCCCTGGCGCGCTCCGCACGCCAGGGAGGGGGGTCCAGCGCAGATCCAAGAAAGCCGCGCGGAGCGCCAAGAGTTGGTGTTTATGCCGGTGTTTCTCCCTCTTGCCGCCGCGCTTCCCTCGCGCTCGCTCGTCTGGGCCTCCCCCGAGGGGCGCTCGTCGCCACGGCCGGGTTCTCTCCTCGGAGCGCTGGTCGGAGCCCACCCCGGGGAGGTCCGCGGAGTGGCGCCTACGAGTGCCTTTTTGTTGGTTTCCCGAGGTGGTGGCTCCTGATGTGAGTGGCAGGCGGTTCCAGGACTGGGGGTGCAAAAAGTGGCATAAACATAAACACTCGGAGGTCCGCGCGGATTTCTCGGATCGGCGCTCGGACCCCCCTCCCTGGCGCGCGGAGCGCGCCAGGGGCGGCGCCGGAGGCGCCGCCGGGCGGTCCCAGCGCCGATCCGAGAAATCTGCGCGGACCTCCGAGTTTTTATGTTTATGCCACTTTTTGTTCCCCTAAGGACTGGGCGAGCTCCAGCGCGACAGACCTGTCGGGTAGCGTTCGTATCGTCACCACCGCGTGGCTGGTCGAGAGCATAGCGAAGCTTGCGTGTGCCAACGAAGAAGGTTTCGCTTGGGATTCTCATGGCAAAACGGTTGCTTCTGAGGCGGCGCGGGGACAAATTGATGAGGGGACCCCGCGCACGGTAGAGCCAAGCGCAGCGCAATGGAAGCAGTACAGCAAAGTGGCGCAGGCCAATGGCAAGCAGACGTGGTCAATTCTTGCGTCTCCAGGCGCGGATAAGATTGGCACACAAGTGGGCGCAGCCAAACCAGGGAATGGAGCACCAGAGCACGCATTCGGAGGGCTGCCGACCCCAAGCCAGGAGAGACTCGTGAGGAGGCGCGGGAACTTTGCTTGTCAGCGAGACCCGTGCGGCGAGGGGCTCTCGGCAAATGTGGAGCTGGCGGCTGCGTTCGCGAAGATGCAGAGGCACTACCAGACGCTGGGAGACCCGTGGAGGGAGCGCCACTACCGCACGGCCCTCGAGGTGATACGCAGGCTGCCGATCGAGGTGGCCTCGGCGGGCGACCTGCAGCACCCCTCCCTCCAGCGGCTGGGCCAGAAGACCCGCGACAAGATCCTCGAGTTCCTCCTCTCGGCGGCGCGCCCGGGGGGAGGCGAGAGGGAGCAGGCCCTCTCAGAGGGCCGCGGGGCTCCTCGGAAGCCGTTCCGCCTCTGAGAGAAGTTGCCCTGCGTCGTCGGGGAAGGCGTAGACAACTTCGCAGAAGGCCCCAGGAATACCGAGCCTTCTGACGAGGCCCGCCCCCTGATCATCATCCTCCTCCTCCTCCTCCTCCTCCTCCTCCTCCTCATCATCATCATCATCATCAACATCCTCATCCTCATCCTCATCCTCATTGGCATCAGCATCATCATCATCATCATCATCATCATCATCATCATCATCATCATCATCATGATCATCACCATCGTCATCA